GGTGGAAATGTCCAATCAGAATTCAATAAAGTGTAACTTCTATTGCCTTGAAAGTCCAGGAAGAGAAATGTGCCTTCGTAGCCTGTGAAGCCTCGAAAGTCTAACAATCTTACCATTAGAGATTGCGCACCAGACTTCTTGGACAAAAAAAACACCTACAAATCAGTAGGGCAAAGGAACTGACTTTAGGGAGGGGAGGGGAGGTGGTGCAAGAACACTGCCATATCTGAACCATCTACTCGTTGGAAATAAAGCAGTGTGCGAAGTTCAGTACCCAAGAACTCCCTCCCTTCATAGCTTTAGGTTGCTCTGGAGGTGGCACTAAATTACAAAGTGGACCCCCAGAGCACATATCACACATTGTCTCCAATGAGCGATTTTCCCTGTTTCTTGTGATCTGTTGGAAAAAAGGTTTTATTTTCAGGTATCAGTGAAAAAGATGAAGAGGTAAGTGAACAAACAAAGGCAAAATGGACACTCCTCCTGGGACGGCACTTTTCATGTGTGGCATGAAAGAGTCCGCAGAAAGCGTCACTATGTGAGCCAGATCCACGGAAATGGTACTTCTCCAGTCCAGGTGCACGAGACGCAGGGCTAGAAGTTTGTTGATGCACGAGGGTCGTCCCATATTTACACCGCGGCTAGTTGTCAAGGTGCAGGAATTGCGTCGATACAAGGTCTCGTAGACGCGAGATGGCCTACTCAGCAAGTAAGCAATTGTGAGTGAGAGGCGCAGACAAGTATGTGCGTTTGGCATGGCTAGGCGGCGTGCTGGCTGTAGAGAGCGGGCGGAACCTGGTATCACCACTCCGCATCCCCGTTCCCGTGCATTTTTGGCCCTGGAAAAGGGACACCACTGCAGCTTAAGGCCCATTCACCTCACACATAGTTGGGACCAGGATCCACGGTGAAGAGTTCACAGAATAACTTCAAATGACTATTACCTGGTATGCCACTTTCATTAGGAGCATTACAACACTCCTTTTTAGTACTACAGAAAAACTGAGGACCAAGAGCAATTCGAAAATGTGAATGCTGTGGCTCGTCCAGCTGCTACTAAAATGCGGACGCGTAAATTGAAGTAAGATGACAAATACTGTTCGACTAATCGAGAAAACCCCAAAGGCAACTCCACGATCACGACTAATTCGTTAAAAGCATAAAGGATGAAGCCTCCCTCTTTCTGCATACACTTGATATCCGTGGGAAGGGGAGGGGGTGTGGGCACGCATAAAGTCCAACAGTCTTTGACGCATATCAGTCCCTTCATGTGATGCGGCACGCATTTTCAGAGTCGTAGTGGCTTATTGCAGGCGATGGGGCTTATACAAACGGAGGCCGGCCGATGTCAGTTTCTTACGGTCCCAGAAAAAATCTGGTACCAATGTAGCGTCCTCAGGGGCAGGTTTGGTTGTCCTTGGCGGGAGGCGATTCGGGATATGATCTCCGAACCACTCGCGTGGTAAGCGTGCCACTTGCCAGTACATCCACCTCCGCCTAATAGTCAGTAGGTAGGGGATTTGATGAGGAACGCGATGATGTAGCTCACCAGAGAAGCTAAGAAATGCTGAAAGCCATCGAAAGTGCTTCAATGGCCCCGATGGTTTGAGTGAGCATACTGTGAGCACGAGGGAAACCACACCGCTCAACAGCGACAGAGAAATGAAATGATAAAGATGGAAATCGACGTGCGGGGCGGAGCTCGATAAACGTATCAGACCTCTGGAGTCCTTACTGTGCTTGTTTGAGCTGCAAGAGTTGTAACTGTGACCGTGACCAATTTGTTGGCGGAGATGCTACGCTTGTTCAGAACTTCAGTGGAATCCTTCAACTATGAAATATTACCACGATTTCTTCTCCATTTCCACTGTTACAGTTGTGTGAACCCAGATGGGGGAAAGGATACGGTGACCCGAGCGGAAATCGATCTGGGGACAGACACATTATGCGAGTTGTGAGTGGTGCCACCATACCACTTTCACCTCATCGGAAAGCATCTCGCCACACTGTTA